GGTCCACACGGAGCAATTTGGAGAATTCTTACCCAACGGAGTATCCGATCAAGTAAAGGAGCTAGGATACATTTTTCCTCTAGAAATGAACTTTTCTAAGGTGTTTGATCGAGGAAAATCATCCCACTACCGAGCTAGTTCAAGAGATCACCGAGGTGCCTTCATTTCGGGCTACACGAGCCAAACGGAGTTAAATAAGGAAACCTTCCTTTTCCTTAACCATGACACATCTCAACACTTTATTTGGGACTCAGGAGACACTCTAAACCAAGGAGAAGCTTTACCGCACGAGCCTTGGTACACTTCACCACACTTGATCACGTGGAGCCTTAACTTGCCATTTTTGGAACCAAAGGAGATCAATAAGCAACGACTCTTTCTTTGACACAGCTGCTGTGTTTTAAAGTCTTATTCAATGCACCTAGACGTCCTAAGGTCGCACCACTTTCAGCCCAAGCTTTCAAGACTCAAGCATCATCATCTTGCCTTATTTGGACAGATTTTCCCTTTAATGTTTCAACGACTCTTTTCATTTATTTTGTGCGATTTGTTTCTGTTTTTATAGCCATTCGAATGTTGTAACTGAGCCTATAAAATCTCATCTCTTGATTTATTCTAAATCACCCTTGATCATTGAATTTAATAGAAATTCTTCTTCTTGTCAAAGTTTGAGTACTTTGTTTGTTCTTTAGTTCTTAGTGAGTGATTCATTAGTTACTATTAAAGTCTGCGGATTAGGACTGTTTGAGAGATTAAAATCTTCTTATTTCGTCCATTGATTGAGAGAGTCAATCGCCTTCCCATTGATTGAGCGAGTCAATCTTCTATCCATCACCTCTATCTCGACATCATTCCACTTTCCGCGAGTTTAACCTTGGAATCTCGTTATCATTGAGTGATCTTAAGTTGGAGTCAAACATAGCCCAAGGACCAAGTACATTGTACTGCCTAGAGTAGAACTGTAAATTCTGCTTCTTCAACAGAACACGACCATGAAAAATTTCAATACCACAATCCAGAAAGGTGCCTTTAACATCACGAATAATCCAACCCATACCTGAAGCAATGTCACCTTGCATGATGAGAAACATCATAACTGCATTTAAAACATCATATGATGAGGTCATCAGACCAATAGTTGAACCCAAACTCAATCAAAACGGATGCACAATGCTAATCAGATCCAACAAGGACATATGTTTATTGTTCGAAGCATATCAACTCAACCACAATGATTCAATGCATGAAATTACTTGGAGAATTCTCAGCTCAAGTACAAATGGCGGTCAGTTATTTAGTTTTCAAATCAGGTGATCCTGAACTTAGCCGAATCGAACATACATACGTTGATTGAAGGATCTCGAACAAACCAGGAGGGTTCAAGCTACAAACCGACTTGATATGGAGTACTAATTCAACATAGACGCTCTAGAAATTGGATTCATGCCAATAGCAGTTTTGGTTTGAAAGATATTCAAATTCTAAACCGAAGGACCTTCGGCTTGCCATATTTGGGACCTTACAGGTTTCTAAGGCTTCAAAATATATTAGTGGCGCCCAAGAGACTTGAGATACTTCTAGAATCTTACCACAACATTATAGGATGCTCCGACGCGCATTGGATCAGGCGGATCCAATTGTATCTTTAATTGGAAAGTAACCGGTTCAATCACTTGTAAACCAGACTATGGCGACCAGGAGAGATTATTGGACTTTTAATTGAGTCTAGAAACATCTTCCCATGCTCCAATAAACATAGAATCAGGCGGATCCTCTTGTTATACTTTCCTTATACGGATGTGCTCACATTTGGAGGAATAACTCACCAACGGCTAAGTCATTTATACTATTGTGTTTTGGGGATATATTCATTGAATTTGGATGTCCCAAGAAAGTATATCTTCACGCCAAAGCTAAAAAGACTCAAGAATAACTCACGTTTCCTTATTTCTATTGATACACTCTTTATGCCACCAACGGCTAATTTTTGCATTAACTTTACGATTTCCTTCCTAGTTTAGAGTTTGTGACCGTTGTACATCTATATAAGCTCAACTATCCTTTCATTGTAAAGCACATTTTAATCAATTTAATCAAAGTATTTTCGTTTTCTTTCAAAGTGTGTTTCTTTGAAGAATTGTTCTTGCTTTTGAATACAAGTGTGAGATTTACTTCTATTCTTTAGCAGCCATGAATATAGTTGTTTGTGTGATTCAAATAACTTTTTCTTTCATAAATTGAGAGAGTCAATCACCACGGATTGAGTGAGTCAATCACTACGGATTGAGAGAGTCAATCAAACCATCACTTATCATCAACATCATCTCTACCTTCTTTCTATCTTCCGCGAGTTATTAAGCTTGGAATCTTTGATTATTGAATGATCTTAAGTTGGAGTGATTCCATTCTTATAATATCATATGTGGTCAATGTTTGATAAGAAAAAACGCTTCAAGTAATGACAGTTGTGAACGAAACAAATATAACAAGAATTATTTATTTAGATGGATAGATCTTTGAGCATTTTCATTGGGGTCTCTCATTAAACCATATTAAAAATAAATAAAAATTAAAAAAATTATTTTTAAATCGAACTGGGTGAGAGACCCATGAGAGAGACTCATGAGAGACTCGCTCTCTCCTCAATAATTCGACACTTGGCATTTTATAAGTGGTTCACATTTTTGTAATGATAGATTATATATTTTATAGTTTACAATATTAATTATATAGTTTATATGTTGTTATTTTTATTTTTCATTTTCTTATAAATCATAAGATAAAATCATAACATTTTTTTAGTTATAGATTATATATTTTACAGTTTACAATATTAATTATATAGTTTATATGTTGTCATTTTTTTTTCTTATAAATCATAAGATAAAATCATCTATATATCAAGCTCCATTATGCATAAAATTAAAAGGAGAAATTGCAAAAATGCCATTTTTCATGTGCACATTTGCAAAAATGCCACTTAGGGGTGTTCATTTGCAAAAATACACTAATTATAGATTTTTAAACCCTATATCTTAAAATTCTAAACACTAAAAAATGTTTTGACTCCTAAACCCCTCTAAACCCTCATAACTAAACTCTAATAGAAAATGATTAACCCAAACATAAATAATATAAAGAAAAAATAATTTTGGAAAAGTGGCATTTTTGTAAAATGGCACTTGAAAAATGACATTTTTAAAAATTTCAATTTATTTAAAATATATATTAATACTTTTTAATTGATATTATTTAAAGTTAATATAAAATATTAAGAGAATTTTTGAGAAATGCCACTCTTTTTAATTGATATTATTTAAAGCTAGAAGTTTTGAGAAATGTCACTTTTGAAATTCCACTTTTCAAAAATACCACTTTATCAGAATCTTTGCAAAAATATCACTTTTTCCAAAATCATTTACTCAATATATAATTTATGTTTGGGTTAACTATCTTGTATTAGGTTTTAATTTTGGGGGTTTAGAGTTTGTTTGAGGTCACAATAATTTTTAGGGTTTAGTAGTTTAAAATTTAGGATTTAAAAATCCTTAATTAGTGGCACTAAAATGGACTCGCGCGATGCACGATTTTTTGTTTTACAATTTTATTAAATTTATCGACAAAATTTAGAATTAGTTATATACTTTTATGTTTCCATTATTTTTAAAACTT